TCTCCAGAAAGCAGGAATAGAAGGAACATACCTCAACATAATAAAAGCTATATATGACAAACCCACAGCAAGCATCACCCTCAATGGTGAAAAATTGAAAGCATTTCCCCTGAAATCAGGAACAAGACAAGGGTGCCCACTCTCACCACTACTATTCAACATAGTTTTGGAAGTGTTGGCCACAGCAATCAGGGCAGAAAAAGAAGTAAAAGGAATCCAGATAGGAAAAGAAGAAGTGAAACTCTCCGTGTTTGCAGATGACATGATCCTCTACATAGAAAATCCTAAAGACTCTACCAGAAAATTACTAGAGCTAATCAACGAATACAGTAAAGTTGCAGGATATAAAATTAACACACAGAAATCTCTTGCATTCCTATACACTAACAATGAGAAAACAGAAAGAGAAATTAAGGAAACAATACCATTCACCATTGCAACAAAAAGAATAAAATACTTAGGAGTATATCTACCTAAAGAAACAAAAGACCTATACATAGAAAACTATAAAACACTGATGAAAGAAATCAAAGAGGACACAAACAGATGGAGAAATATACCGTGTTCATGGATTGGAAGAATCAATATTGTCAAAATGGCTATACTACCCACAGCAATCTATAGATTCAATGCAATCCCTATCAAACTACCAACGGTATTTTTCACAGAACTAGAACGAATAATTTCACAATTTGTATGGAAATACAAAAAACCTCGAATAGCCAAAGTAATCCTGAGAAAGAAGAATGGAACTGGAGGAATCAACCTGCCTGACTTCAGACTATACTACAAAGCCACAGTCATCAAGACAGTATGGTACTGGCACAAAGACAGAAATATAGGTCAATGGAACAGAATAGAAAGCCCAGAGGTAAATCCACGAACCTATGGTCACCTTATCTTCGACAAAGGAGGCAAGGATGCACAATGGAGAAGAGGATTACTTGAAAAGCTCTCTCCAGTGCCTAAGGGGCGTCTAGCAAACAATCTCCCTCAAACGTGGGTCTCTTTTCTTTTTCTCTTCTTTCTTTTTCTTGGCCTCTTCTGTCAAACACGGTAAGGCTATGAACTGTCAGCTGGAAACCCCGAATTGGGAAGGAGGCTGTACTGCTGGGCTAATGGTGACTGTAAGGGAACCGACAATAATCTGATTCTCACTGAGTTTATGGCTTGAAATAAATACAGCAATAGAGTAGTCTTATCAACTCATAATGTGATTTAAGACCAAAGTAAAAGAGACCTGAAATGGAGCACAGAAGATTCAGCACCACCCCCTTTTTCACTTTGAAAACTCCTTATTTTCCTTCAAGATGCAACCCACAGGTCACCTCCTCTTTGAAGCTTTCCCAAATTCCTCTGGCCGAGTAACTCAGCCCTGTCATGGCATCATCTCCATCTCACATGACCACGCTCCCACCTGTCACCTCCATCAGGAGGATCATAGAACCTCCTGAGTAATGACATCATAGTGAGCTCTATATCCAGTACTGTGTTTGGCACATTGTTGTTGCTGGTTAGTGACTCAGTCATGTCCAGCTCTTTACAGCTCCATGGACTGCAGCATGCCTGGTTTCCCTGTCCATCTCCTGGTGCTTGCTCAAACTCATGTCCATTGAGTCGGTGATTCCATCCAACTGTCTCATCCTCTGTGGTTCCCTTCTCCTCCTGCCTTCAATCTTTCCCAGCATTAGGGTCTTTTCTAGTGAGTCAGTTCTTTGCATCAGGTGGCCAAACTATTGGAGCTTTAGCTTCACAGCATTAGTCCTTCCAATGAATATTCAGGACTGATTTCCTTTAGGATTGACTGGTTTGATCTCCTTGCAGTCCAAGGGACTCTCAAGAGTCTTCTCCAACATAACAATTTGAAAGCATCAATTCTTCAGCACTCAGCATTCTTTATGGTCCAACTCTCACATTCATACATGGCTACTGGAGAAACCATAGCTTTGACTAGACAAACCTTTGTTGGCAAAGTAGTGTCTCTGCTTTTTAATATGCTGTCTATGTTGGTCATAACTTTTCTTCCAAGGAGCAATCATCTTTTAATTTCATGGCTGCATGTGAATTTCATGTAATTTCACTGCAGTCACCATCTGCAGTGATTTTGGAGCCAAAAAAATAAAGTCTGTCACTTTTTCTGCTGTTTCCTCATCTATTTGACATGAAGTGATGGCACCAGATGCCATGATCTTAGTTTTTTTAATGTTGAGTTTCAATTTTTTCACTCTCCTCTTTCACCTTCATCAAGAGGCTTTTTAGTTCTTCGCTTTCTGCCATAAGGGTGATGTCATCTGCATATCTGAGGTTATTGATATTTCTCCTGGCAATCTTGATTTTAGCTTGTGCTTCATCCAGCCTGGCATTTCACATGATGTACTCTGCATATAAATTAAATAGGGCGACAATAATACAGCCTTGAAGTACACCTTTCCCAATTTGGAACCAGTCCGTTGTGCCATGCCTGGTTCTAACTGTTGCTTCTTGACCTGCATACAGGTTTCTCAATGTGACACATTGCAGGAGCTCACAAAATATTTATTTCTGAAGGAATGTGGTGGGTTCCAATCTCCCTCATTTTCATACCCAAGCCTGGAGCTAAGGCAGGTGAACTTTCAGAGCCCTTCCAGGGGCAGAGAGGTCAGCCAGGTCAGGGCTGGGGGAGGTGGCCACCTCCTTTCCACCACTTTCAAGATCATGTGTGTAAAACTTTGCACAAAGAGGGCTGGGAGACACCCAAAGTATCTAGAGGACAAGAAAATGGCCTTGAACAGGACACAGTGACAAAAAATTATTCATTCAGCAAAAATGTATCAAGTTTTGTGTGAATATGTGCCAGGCCATGAGTAAGATCTGCTCCTATTCTCACGAACCTCGCAGGCCTAGGCAGACACAGGCCATGGCAATGACAGTACTGTGGAACAGGTGCAAGACAGGGGTGCATAGGTCAAGAGGACTGTGAATGTGCGGTGGGAGAGGGTGACAGAGCTGAGTGCTTGGGGAGGAGGAGTCACCGGATCTCTGACAGTTGGAACGGGGGTCTGCTTCCTTCCCTCTCTCAGGAGGGGTGCTCTTCGGAGTATATCTGGCCAGAGCCTCTCCACCATCTTCCTTAGAGTGTATGCACCGAATCCCAGGTCTGTGTGTTCTTTCTGATGTTGCAGGCACCTGGAATATTCTTCCATAATCAGGCAGGGCTCTGTCCTGTCCCCAGCAACCACTGCCTGACCCTACTATGGCTACAACCAATGGGACCCACAGGCTCTGACCCAGTTCTCTGCCTGACTCCCTCACCTCACCTCACCTCTCCCAGAAAGCCCAAGAGAGGCCCACAGCAGGCTGACACATGACAACAAACGACACAATCTCTACCTAGATGTGGACAAAACCCACTTTAAAAAAGAAATAAGAATTTCCACTGACAATTTTATTATTACTGACAGCATTTTGAATGAACCAAAGAATTTAACAAAACACATAAAAAATATATTTATATAAAAATATATAGAAAATACATTTTAAATTCCCTTGGACTGCAAGGAGATCAAGCCAGTCAAACCTAAAGGAAATCAGTCCTGAATATTCATTGGAAGGACTAATGCTGTGAAGCTAAAGGACAACAGATTTACTTTCTAATCATTCAGAGAAAAAAGAAATGATAATGTTTACTTACTGGTAGATTGCATTTGAGTGAAACTAGCTACTGGATCACAAGACCCAAGCAGCCAGGACACTGCCAAGCTCTTGGAAACAGAAGTAATCGACCAACAGGTGAGAGGCTATGGGAGGGGCAACTAGACAGACAGCCAGCAAAACAGATGTGGCAGCCCAGCCAAGATAGGAACAGACCGGGCAGTGCAGGGATTAGGTATCAGGAAGCAGAGATGGGCATGCCAGTTACTCTGGCCTTAAGAATAATCACTATGACCACAGGACCAGCTGCAAACTAACTCCAGTGTATGTACTCACATGAGGATGTGTTCATTTAAATCACCTCTTCCTTCATTCATGAAATTAGCAAGTGCGTTTGGGTGGGAGTCATCTTTGTGTCTCAGGGACCAGAGAGGGGAAGGCCCAATCTACGAAAGCAGTTTCCTAAATTTAGCTGGACTGAGCCTGCTAGAAGGGCTGTAGACTGTGAGGGCTCCAGGAAAAGCAGAGGGTTGAGGCCCAGGCCCTGCTCCAGGAGGCAGCACTATACACAGAGGGAGAGGCACTCAGACAACTGTGCCATGTGGCCTGTGATGGGTGTGGGACAAAGTAACAAGATTGTCCCCATCTGTGTGTGAGATTAGGATGGGGTTATAGAGTTCACTTGGATTTGAGACGGGCCTGGAGGGACAGGTAGGATTTGACAGGCAGAGATGGGAGTTTCATGGGCATTCCCAGCCAAATGCAGAAAGCAAAGCCTCATGAGGGAGTGCACAGTGAGAGTTGAGGTGGCCCTTGCAGGGAGCATCTGGAATGTTCAGAAAAGTTGTGGGAGATGCAGCTGGAGAGGGAGCATGAGGTCAGGCCAACATGGGTCCAAAGCAAGGAGTTCACACCAAATTTGGATAAATAAAGTCTTTGTGTGCTCATTTATTCTTTCATTCATTCAACAAAAATGTATTGCATGCAAAACCTCTGCCAGGTGCTGTTCCCCTGGATGCTGGGCACACAGTGGGGAGAGCAACTTCTGCCCTCCTGAGGCTAGTATCACCTCTGGGTAGCAGGAGTGCCATGGGAAAGTGGAGGCTGCTGCCTAGTCCAGGGTGAAGGGCCCTGAGCTGTAATAGGAGGGTCACTTCAAAGGGGAGGGCACTTGGCAGGTCAGTCAGAAGTGACGTCCCCTTGGCTAGGCCAAGACAAGTCCTCTAGCAGCCAACATGGGGAATGAAGCATCCCTCAATAACTGGGGCAAAGGGTCAGAAAAGTCAGGTTTGGGAAGGAGAGGAGAGGCCTTGAGGCAGGGGGATGACCCCTTAATCCTCCCACTGACCCCAGCCTGCAGCAGGCCTGGATCATCGGCCAGCCTGGTCAGTGGTCTCTCGGCCGGCGTCCCTCTGGTCTTCATGCCTGTAGTCATCCTCTCCCTCCTCTTCTCGTCTTCTGGAAAGCTCTGTCAGCTGCTCTGGTGGCTCCCGGTAGGCCGCCCGATTCCTGCAGGCATTGAGGACAGAGGGGAAGGGTTCACACTCACCCACTCAGGACGTAGGGAGCTGGGTCTAGTGCTTGCTATGAGGAGAGAGCAGCCTGTGACAGAGGCTTGCCCCCACACCTGGCCCTGGACACCCACAGGAAACTCTACCCTGGGATTAGAGGCTGGAGAACCATGGGCCCTGGAGTCATGTACCAGATAGCAATGCCACTTTAAGATTTGGGTGAATCATTTACTCTTTTCTCAACTATAAAATGGGATGGATAAAACTTGTTTTTATTGTTAACAGCTGCCCCCTGAGGTGCTATGAGAGGAAGAGGCTGTGAGGAGCTGGGGCACATCTTCCTAACCTGCTTAGACCCTTGCCAATAGGCTGCCCCCGACACTCACGGCCGTGCGACGTCGGTGTCCTCAGCCTTGCCGGTGTCCCGGCAGCAGCAGCAGTAGAGGATGATGCCAATGATGACGAGAGCCACAGCCACGCCCCCAGCGATGCCCGCATACAGAGCCACGTTCATGGAGGCTGGGAGAGGCAGAGCCGCAAGTCCTGTGAGCCATAACCGCAGTTCCCAACTCGAGCCCATAACACAAGATGCAGGGTGTGCATGCCAGGGATGAGGAACCACAGTAGCCAGTGTCCCCGATGTGAGAGGTGGTCCTTCCCAGGCTCTGAGTGGCGCCTGCCTTCCCAGCCCAAGGGGCAGTGCCGCCGGCAGCACGGCCTCCTGGGAATGACCAGACAAGGCTGGAGGATGCTTTTCAGGATGCAAGTGTAGAAAAGGCCAGATGGCCAACAGATCTGAGCTACTCAGGCTCCAAAAGAGCCCTCAGGTGTCATGCCAGCTCTTACTCATTTCCAAGCTGGTCAGGGTGTCCCTCCCCAAATGATGGGGAATGACTCTGTGGAAGCCAGGTCTGGGCACTTCCCCCATGCCCACAGAGCAACCCTAAGGGTAGGACTAAGGTCTCCAGAAGCCAATCTTAGGTGCTATTTCCAAACAACAAAGGGAACTGGTCTAGCCTTCAGATGAGGAGAGCCTGGGACAGGAGCATCTGGTCGTCACCTCAGCCACCCTGCCAATGGGAGACCCCAAAGAGGCTGCCCGGCTCACGTCCCAGTCAGCTGACTCTGGATCCCCAGCCAGTCACTTTCTGGCCTTCACCCTCCCTCTCTCCCTCCATCCCAAACTGCTCTTACGAGGTCTGACAGCCACAGTGATGTTGCAGGATTCGGTCCCCACCTCATTGCTGGAGATGCAGATGTAGTAACCCGACATTTCTGTGGAGATGTTCTTCAGAGAGAAGGTCTGTCCTGTGACTGGGAAGCAAGAAGAGTCACGCTGACGAGACAGTCCATCATAGTAGAATAGAAACAGCTAGGAAGGAGTGTGGGCTCCTGAACTCTTATGTAGATAAAAGCGTTGCCACTGAACATGTCTGAGTCTCATCTGTAATGTGGACAAAATATCCTCCTCTAGGGCTGCAGGACGATTAAACCAGGTGGACTGGACCATTCTGAAGTGCTTAGAATTCAGGCAGGAACCGTGTGTTTGAAGCCACATTAATTTTGTGACTTTGGGCAAGGAACTTAGCTTCATTAAATCTGTTTACTTATAAATAAAATAATAATAGTGTCTTCACAATAGGGTAATTGTGAACATGAAATAAACTACTAATGAATATAAGCCCACAACCAAATGCCTGATGTAAATGCTTAGGAAAATAGGAAAAGGAGTACATCAAAGCTGTATATTGTCACCCTGCTTATTTAACTTATATGCAGAGTACATCATGAGAAACACTGGGTTAGAGGAAGCACAAACTGGAATCAAGATTGCCAGGGGAAATATCAATAACCTCAGATATGCAGATGACACCACCCTTTATGGCAGAAAGTGAAGAAGAACTAAAGAGCCTCTTGATGAAAGTGAAAGAGGAGAATGAAAAAGTTGGCTTAAAGCTCAACATTCAGAAAACTAAGATCATGGCAAGTGGTCTCATCACTTCATGGCAGATAGATGGGAAAACAGTGGAAAGTGTCAGACCTTACTTTTCTGGGCTCCAAAATCACTGCAGATGGTGACTGCAGCCATGAAATTTAAAGATGCTTACTCCTTGGAAGGAAAGTTATGACCAACCTAGACAGCATATGAAAAATTCCAGACATTACTTTGCCAACAAAGGTCTGTCTAATCAAGGCTATGGTTTTTCCAGTGGTCATGTATGGATGTGAGACTTGGACTATAAAGAAAGCTGAGCACCAAAGAATTGATGCTTTTGAACTGTGGTGTTGGAGAAGACTCTTGAGAGTCCCTTGGACTGCAAGGAGATCCAACGAGTCCATCCTAGAGGAGATCAGTCCTGGGTGTTCATTGGAAGATCTGATGTTGAAGCTGAAGCTCCAATACTTTGGCTACCTGGTGCAAAGAGCTGACTCATTGGAAAAGACCCTGATGCTGGGAAAGATTGGAGGCAGCAGGAGAAGGGGATGATGGAGGATGAGATGGCTGGATGGCATCATCAACTTGATGCACATGGGTTTGGGTAGAGTCAGGGAGTTGGTGATGGACAGGGAGGCCTGGCGTGTTGCGGTTCATGGGGTCGAAAAGAGTCGGACACGACTGACCGACTGAATTAAAAATGCTTAGGAAACATAATGTGCATTATATATTACATAGAAATGTTGTATAATTAGATTATATGATTCTAACAACTTTGATGATCTTCAGAAACAGAATTCCTCAGCTTAGACTCATGTGAGAGCAGGCCTTAGAACCTCAAGGACCCTGACTTCTGCATTTCTACGCCATGAGAGGCATGTGTGCGAGTGCATGAGGTGTGTGTATGTTGTGTATGTGTGTGTGTCTGGTGGGATAGGGAGGAGGCAGGCAGGCAGGCAGTCTAGACTCTTCCTCTTTCTTTTCCACCACTTAAGTAAGCCATTTATCTTCTGTGAGCTGTAGCTACTTCATCTGGAAGTGGGAGGGAAAGTATCTGATCCTCCCAAATTCAGGGCGATGGTCTACATGTCCTCATGAGAAGATGTTCTACTAAATCTATGATCCTACAAATGTCTTCACCCTGAAAGGGAAAGTTAAAGCATAAAACATAAATGTTGAGACAAATTTATATACCCCATCCTCAGTGATGGGCTTTCCTGGTGGTGCTAGTGGTGAAGAAACCCCCTGCCACTGCAGCAGACACAAGACATGCGGATTCAATCCCTGGGTCGGGAAGATCCCCTGGAGGAGAGCAACCCAGTCTGGCAACCCACTCCAGTATTCTTGCCTGGAGAATTCCATGGACAGAGAAGCCTGGCGGGCTACAGTCCATGGGGTCGCCAACAGTTGGACACGACTGGAGCAGTTCAGCACACACACATCCTCACTGATGCTCTGTCATAACCACTATCATGAGACAAGAGCTAGGGGCCTTTGTCCTCTAACTTGCTGCAGAGTCAGCCTCCTCTGCTGTCACTCCCTCCGAAGGAGACATTCTAAATTGCAAATAGGATCTGAGTGACATTTCAGAGACAGTCCCTCATCTTCAATAATAAGTCCAAGTTCTTTAATATGGATGTGTTGTTACAGATCTGGCCTTGACAATCCAGCTTTCAGTTCAGTTCAGTTCAGTCGCTCAGTCGTGTCCAACTTTTTGTGACCCCATGGACTGCAGCACACCACGCCTCCCTGTCCATCACCAACTCCTGCAGTTTACTCATATTCATGTCCATTGAGTTGGTGATTCCATCCAACCATCTCATCCTCTGTCATCCCCTCCTCCTCCTGCCTTCAACCTTTCTGAACATCAGGGTCTTTTCAAATGAGTCAGCTTTTCACATCAGGTGGCCAAAGTATTGGAGTTTCAGCTTCAACATCAGATCTTCCAATGAACACCGAGGACTGATCGCCTTTCGGATGGACTGGTTGGATCTGCTTGCAGCCCAAGGGACTCACAAGAGTCTTCTCCAACACCACAGTCCAAAAGCACCAATTCTTCAGTGCTCAGCTTTCTTTATAATCCAACTCTCACATCCATACATGACTACTGGAAAAACCATAGCCTTGACTTGACTAGATGGACCTTTGTTGGCAAAGTAATGTCTGGGCTATTTAATATGCTGTCTAGGTTGGTCATAACTTTACTTCCAAGGAGTAAGCATCTTTAAATTTCATGGCTGCAGTCACCATCTGCAGTGATTTTGGAGCCCAGAAAAATAAAGTCAGCCACTGTTTCCACTGTTTCCCCATCTATCTGCCATGAAGTGATGGGACCGGATGCCATGATCTTAGTTTTCTGAATGTTGAGCTTTAAGCCCTCTTTTTCACTCTCCTCTTTCACTTTCATCAAGAGGCTCTTTAGTTTATCTTCACTTTCTGCCATAAAGGGTGGTGTCATCTGCATATCTGAGGTTATTGATATTTCTCCTGGCAATCTTGATTCCAGTTTGTGCTTCCTCTAGCCCAGTGTTTCTCATGATGTACTCTGCATATAAGTTAAATAAGCAAGGTGACAATATACAGCCTTGACAGTATAGAACAGTTAGAACCAGTCTGTTGTTCCATGCCCAGTTCTAACTGTGGCTTCCTGACCTGCATACAGATTTCTCAAGAGGCAGGTCAGGTGGGCTGGTATTCCCATCTCTTTCAGAATTTTCCACAGTTTATTGTGATCCACACAGTCAAAGGCTTTGGCATAGTCAATAAAGCAGATGATTTTCTGGAACTCTCTTGCTTTTTCGATGATCCACCGCATGTTGGCAATTTGATCTCTGGTTCCTCTGCCTTTTCTAAAAGGCAGCTTGAACATCTGGAAGTTCATGGTTCATGTACTGTTGAAGCCTGGCTTGGAGAATTTTGAACATTACTTTACTAGTGTATGGGATGAATGCAATTGTGTGGTAGTTTGTGCATTCTTTGGCAGTGCCTTTCTTTGGGATTGGAATGAAAACTGACCTTTTCCAGTCCTGTGGCCACTGCTGAGTTTTCCAAATTTTCTGACTTATTGAGTGTAGTACTTTCAGAGCATCATCTTTTAGGATTTGAAATAGCTCAATTGGAATTCCATCGCTTCCACTAACTTTGTTTGTAGTGATGTTTCCTAAGGTCCACTTGACTTTACATTCCAGGATGTGTGGCTCTAGGTGAATGATCACACCATTGTGATTATCTATCTCGGTCGTGAAGATCTTTTCTGCACAGTTCTTCTGTGTATTCTTGCCACCTCTTCTTAATATCTTCTGCTTCTGTTAGGTCCATACCATTTCTGTCCTTTATTGTGCCCATCTTTGTATGAATTGTTCCCTTGGTATCTCTAATTTTCTTGAGGAGATCACTAGTCTTTCCCATCCTATTGATCTCCTCTATTTCTTTGCACTGATGACTGAGGAAGCCTTTCTTATCTCTCCTTGCTATTCTTTGGAACTCTGCATTCCAATGGGTATATCTTTCCTTTTCTTCTTTGCTTTTGGCTTCTCTTCTTTTCACAGCTATTTGTAAGATCTCTTCAGTCAGCCATTTTGCTTTTTTGTATTTCTTTTTCTTGGGGATGGTCTTGATCCCTGTCTCTTGTGCAATGTCACAAACCTCCATTCATAGTAATCCAGCTTTACCTCTTGCTAGTTCCCCTGGTGGCCAATTCTTTACTTGCCCAGCTCTACTCTGTTGCAAGATTGTGTCTCAGTGTGAATTATTCTTGCCTGAATATGCTACTCACTATACTTCCTCAAATATGATTTTTCCAACAATCTTGTATTGTGGATGGAACAACTATTTCAATCTCCAGTGCCCTAGAGGTAACTGGAGGCTTGGAGAAATTAAGTGACTTCCCCAAGGTCACAAAAATAAGAAATGACAAAACAGTAACAAAGATTCATTTTTAGGTCTAGAATTCCCAAGAACAGTTGACAACTTTCTTTAAAAAAATATATAGAAAAGAGAACAGAGAGGGTGATAAGTAGAAAGACCATGCCAGGACCTCCCATATCACAGATGAAGAAGAAGCACAGTTTATGAGCAATTGCCCCACTGTGGTCTCAGAAAACACCCCACGGAAGAGAACATAAATCTTGGTGTTCTGGACAGTGCCACTTGCAGGAATGGCTGCAGGAACAGGCTGTGGTTTTAAAGGCTAGCATCATATAGAAACACATCATTTATTTTCAAAATGAGGCCTCTCTGACCAAGAAACTTTGTGAACAAGATTCCACATTTGATGGGGTGACCAACAAACCAATCTTAGACTGCTGTGCCTGTGGAAATACCAAGTACAGACATATATTTTATGTGAATTTGTCTGAGAAGACACACCCAAAGGATT